GTATTTAATAAGGATTGTGTACAAAGTTACATTTCAGTATGGCTTTTCATCCTCAGACTGACGGGCAATCTGAGAGGACTATTCAGGTACTGGAATATCTTCTGAAGTTATGTGTTTTGGATTTTGGAGAAAAATGGGAAGATCATATCCCGCTGATAGAATTTGCTTATAATAACATTTTCCAGTCCAGTATTGGTATGGCACCTTATGAAGCTTTATATGGCCGGAAGTGTAGAACTCCTTTGACTCTGACTGAGGTGGAAGATATACAAGTGATGAGTTCAACTTTTGTGGATGAAAATGTTATGAAAATCAATCTAATTAAAGAAAGATTAAAAGCTGCACAAGATAGGCAACATAAATATTACAATCAGAAGCATAGATTTGTGGAATTTCAGGTTGGTGACTTTGTGTATGTCAAAGTCAGTCCGATGAAAGGTGTCAGTAGATTTGGAAGAATGAGCAAGCTCAGTCCAAGGTATGTCGGACCTTTTGAGATTATTGAAAGGATTGGTAAGTCTGCTTATAGATTGTTGTTATCTGATCAGCTGTCTGATGTGCATAATGTTTTTTCACGTATCCTCTTTGAGAAAGTGGATATCTGAATATGACAAGAAGTTATCTGTTGTTGAGATTGAGATTCAGGAGAATCTACAGTACAATGAAGAACCTCAGAAAATTTTGGCCTATGATGTACGCAAGTTAGGAAATAAACAAATTCCAATGGTTAAAGTGCAGTGGAAACACAAAACAGCACGGGAAGCGACTTGGGAGAAGGAGTCGGACATGAGGTAGTCATATCTGTATCTATTTTGACTCAGTTTACTTTGGGAATGTTGAGGACGACATTTTTCTTAAGGTGTGTAGATTGTAAAACCCTTCAAAAAAGTTGTTTTTTTAGTGCTGTTAGTCCCGGACGAACTGAAGAAAATTGTGAAGAAATCTGTCATTTTCGTCTGTACGAACCGTCGGGACGAACCCAGACAGAGAGTTTCGTCCATGGATGAATAAATTGGAATTAATTTTGTCTAGACAATTTGAGTCCAGAGAAGATCGTCCCGGGATGAATCGGGGCATCGTCTGGGACGATCCTGCTTAATAAATATCTGAATAGTGTCGATTTTGAAGAGAGAGAAAGCCTAGGAGAGAGAAAAACGAAGGGAAAAGAGGAAAAGTGGATTTTTGGGCGACTTTGACTCGTTTTCGTTCGTCGCCGTAGTTGGAAAAGTTGACCGACTCGAGGTAAGGCACATTCCGCCTTTCTCAATTTTCAGAAACGAGAATTTTGACGACTTTTCTGTTCCGGATTTTGTTTCCGTTAGCGAATTTCTGGTATTATTTTCTTCTAACAAAGGTTTTACCGCGTAACTTTTGATATATTTTTGAGATGATAATTGTGCACATTTTGAGTATGTTCTGAAAGATTTTTACCGGGTATTTTGAATTCTGCTGAGTTTTATTCGAATAACAATTTATCTAGATGTTTGATATTATTACTTCAGTATAGTAAAAGTCTTATAATGTTGTTGCGGATATTTTGTGATAATTTGGTAAATTTCTGAATCTGTGAATTTTGTGTAAATTCCATATACTGTCGTTATGCCATCGATTTTTCGTACAAATTTTGATTTTTCTGAATTGATACATTGAATATTTGAATGAATTGAAGTGTTTGTATGATATCAGAAGGGAGTTATAAGGGGCCAGGATTCTTTGAGATTCTGTCTGTGTTAGGGAAATCTGAAATGAGCTATGAAATCTGAAAATAAATTATGTTTCAGAATTCTGAATATCTGTTCTGTTCTGTTCTAATGCTATAAGCACAAAAGGAGGCATAAGGGCCATAATCCGTTGAGATTCTGTTAGTGTCTGGGAATTGAGGCATAAGGGACCAGAATCCGTTGAGATTTTGTCAGGGTCAGAGAATCTGATATGAATGTGATTTTATTTGATTTCTATACGATTCTGGTTATTCCGTACGATTATGTCTGCTCTGTGTCATGAAAGCTTTATGATATCTGTTCTGAACTCTGATTTGAAATGACTTCAGTTTTCTATATCAGTTGTTTGATTTCTGTTGATCAAGTATCTGTTCTGTATGTTCTATGATTTTCGTACGGCTATTTTCTGATGATTATGATTGGGGAGTGATGTCTTGCTGAGCTGTTAGCTCATCCTTGTTTTCTACATGGTTTTCAGGTTCTGGGAAAGGGAAGGATGTCTTGGACTAGAAGTTCCGTGTCTGCTCTGAGATTAGGTATTTTGTACTTCTGATTTTTGGTACAATCATGACTTTTCTGTTCTGTTCTGTTATTTTTGTCTGAAGCCATGAATTGTATTATATATGATTGTTTTGATGAAATAAAAGATAGCTGAATTGTTCTGTATTTTGATGATTATAGTAGCTCTGTGTTTTTCTGTCTATTTAATATTTGGAAGAAAGTCTGAAGCAAATTCCAAAGCTAGATCCTGGATTTCTTTTAAGTCCAGTCGCGGCCCGATGGGAGCGGGATCCGTCCCGGTCGGGTTGGGTCGTGACACATTCAGCCACCGACCGCTACCAAACTTCCACTATCAATCAATCACTATTAGACTTCCACACTACCATCGTCGTGCTGCTAGATTTCCACCCACATTCGATCGCTATCAAACTTCTATCCGACCATCATCAGACAATCGCTCGACCGTCGACAGTCGTCGAGCTTCCACATAACCTTCAAACTGTCGTCGGACTTTCGTCTAACCTTCGTCAGCCCAATGCATCGCTGTCAATCATCATCAGACTTCCATTACTGCCATTGGACCTCCTCCCACGGCTAACCATTGTTGGTTCTCCGCCAATCTGCCAAGTATGATCAATCCGACTACCATCGCCCGCTGATGACAGTCACTCCATCATCCATTACCCGCCGACTACAGTCACTCCAACCTACATCACCCGCTCACTACAGTCAGTCCAATCTTCATCACCTGCCGACTATGGCCCTTCCAATTACCATCTCCCACCCACTACGATACTTATGCCCACCGTCCTCCACAATCTATGATCCCTTCAACCAACGTCGCTCGTCGCCCGCCGGCTACGGTTCCTCCGACCATCATCCCTGGCTAACTATGATCCCTCCAACCTCCGTCGTCCGTCGACTACAGTCATTACGACCTCCATCACCAGTCAACTATTTTCCTCTTATGGCGGTCACCCACCGACTAGAGTCCCTCCGACCACTGTCACATGCTGACTACCGTCCCTTCAACTACTGTCATACACCAACTACAGTCCATATGAGTAACATCGATTGCGAACTATTGTCCCTTAGACCACTGTCACCCGCCAACAATGATCCCTCCAACCTTTGTCACCCACCGACTATGATCCCTCTGACCTTTGTTGCCTGCCAACTACAGTCCCTATGTCCACGGTCGCTCGTCGACGACTGTTCCTTTGAGCTCCATCCCCGACCAATTACAGTCTGTCCAACCTCCATCGCTTGTCGGATACAGTCCATCCGACCAACGTCGCCGGCCAACTAAGCGACCACGGTCCCACCGTCACTCATCGATTATGGTACCTTGGACCACAGTCACCCACTAACTAAGGTCCCTTCGAACTTTGTTGCCCGGCGACTAAGGTCCCTCTGACCTCCATCACCTGCCAATTATAATCCCTCTAATCTCTGTTGCCCGCCAACTATGGTCATTTCGACCACCATCCCCCGCTGACTATGGTCCCTCCGACCTCCGTTACACGCTACTACGGTCCCTCCAACCTTCGTCATCATGCCAAACAAACGAACATGGCAAATTTCTCTTGATAATGACTCACTTATCATTGTATTCTTTCAACCCCAACTATGTAATGTAATATATATGGTACAATGAACAAATACCTTTCCCCCGAGGAAAAGTGCCATTTATAATCAACTATAAACACTAGTGGAATCATTTCTACTAGGCCAGTCCCCATAATTTTTTTTCTTTTATAAGATTTCTCACGTAAAAATCTTGATGTCTTTTATTACTCTTGTACACTTCTCTTATATATATTTGTGTGTGCCATATCTTCGTTCAAAGCTAACATATTAAGCTCTTTATATCTTTATCGTCGCAAATGTTCTAGTCTGCAACAAGATTGATGGAGTCAATAAGCATATTGAAAAACTTAGTTTTTATCTCTTACAAATAGATTAATATTGTGAATACTTTATCAATATTTCCTTAGAGATACATTGTGGGGTTTGCACTTATCATATGAAAATGAATATCACGATAAATTTTTAAATTGATAATTATCATGAGAAACATTTATGAGTTGCTAAGATTTATAGAAGAGTTGAATTCTTAGATCAAGTTGATAAATTTTAATACCATCATGTGAAATAAAAATTTTAAGTTAATAATATAAATCAGATTGTCCTTCTTACATTTATTTTTTAAGACTGTTAGACCAATTAAGACAGACTCACACACATATCGCATAAACAAGACTTAAGCCCAAGACCTCTTAGTTAATAGCCGTAGCTCCCGACCAACATACCAAAATGAGCTGTGTTGTCCTTCTTACATTAAATCCTATTTGCAGGAGGACAAAAATTTAAAGTATTTATGATTACAAAGTTAATTATACAATTAAATATCATAAAATTAAAATTTAAAACTAGATAAAATCATCTATTTAATGGGATTAATTATTCCGCGCGGATGCTAAGCGCAGTTCGGAGACCAACAAGAATGCACCACATCATCCCTTCGCTCGGTATTGCTCGGTACCGCTAATGTGCCACATTTTGATTGATCTCCGGGCGACGTTCTGCCTCCGACCTCTGCACATAATAATTTCTCATTTAATGGACGATTTACAAATCCAATTAGCATAAATAAAAACAATTAAAAATATTCAGCAGCAAATTACCCGTTTAAAACGGACGACTTTACATATTTTTTCATTTTTAAAATACTTAATTATATAATTAAACTTTTAATAATACCTACTTTAAAAATTTTCCCATTTGCAGGAAGCAGCCGCTAACTGGAATGGCGACGCTTTCTCTCATTCCTCTTGCAAAAATCTCTCCGCACTCACGACGGCTGTCACGGTGCGATGTCGTTCGTTTTTCCTCCCCGTTTACCGGAACACTGAACCCAATCACAGTGCCCAAATCTGTATCTAGGGTTCCGGCGTTGGTTTCCCCGCTGGAAGCTATCTCTTTATCCAACCTGTCGGGATTCCCGGCCAACCTGCTGGATCTCCTCCGTGCTTCACCCGCTACTTGGGAGTCCTCAATTGCAAGCAATCTATTCATCTTCACACTTGGATCGCCGCTTCTTTTGTCGGGGCTTTCTGCATTGGGGATGGGGTCTGCATTCTTGCTGGGTGTCTTGACGTGGAGAGCCTTCGAAGCACCAGGGTTCCTACTCGTTGCAACATATTTTGTTGTGGTAAGTTGAATTATTATAGTGTTTGGCTTGTGATGTATGGAAGCTGTATATCCTTTGTCCATTCATGCGCGGAGTGGTGGTCATCTTGTAAGTTGTAACGTATGGAAGTTAAATTTATGCGCATCCACTAGTATTGGTGAAAACGAGGTGGTTTTCTCTAAGTTTTGCTTGGTGATTGTATTAGATTTTAGATGTGCAAAAATGCTGGTCATGTTTTTTTTATTTTTTTTGTTTTGGGGGGGGGGGGGGGGGGGGGGGGAGTTGTGACGGGGGGGTACCAACCCATCCTTCACCATCCGATGGATAATTTCATGCTTCTAAACAATTGCCAAGGAAGATTAACTAAACTCTTAATTACTAAAAATGTTAAGGTTACCTTGCTGTGAAAATTATTGTATAATTAATGACAGTGATACATGCAACATTCAACATAAAAATACGAGAACTATATGCTAGAAGCTTAAAATAAAAACATGACTACCAGGCTAATTTATAACATATGCATATGTCATACTAAATGTGATAAATGTCATGTAGACAATAAAACAAGTGATATTGTTTACAAAACCCCAATATATTTTTATGTGATTAAAAAAGTAGACGAAAAATAGATAAATGTTTGAGATAAAAGAAGAAGATATAACTAGTGTGATTTTAAGCAATCAGATTAAAATGCTGGATCTTTAAATGCTGAATGGGGAAGACAACGAATTTCAGGATGGAAGATGGCCACAAGTCGAGATTGTAAGTAATGGTCAAGATCCTTGGTGGATCTCTAGTATGGAGAGTTGTTGCAAACTGAAGTGGTTGACTTAATCCTGAGCAGGTTGAAAGAAGTATAATTTTACAGTTAAAAGTCCTAGAATCCTGATCGCTTCAAGAAGAAGGATAAGAATCAAACACAATTTGACTTAAACATTTTAGCGATATGGCAAATTGGGCCCAAAAGAAGATGACTAAGAAGTTATGAATTTCTAATTGTTTAAGAATGGAGAAGATGAATATTATAATATGCTTAAAAATCATATTAGGTTTGGTACTTAGAAAAGTAATGTCCACAATCTAAAGTAAAGAAAGGTGGATTGCTCGTAGCAACTGGCTTTGATTGGCCAAGCTGCTAAATTGAGGTTCAAGGAATTGAGGCCCCACCCATGCACTTATATTGCTAGTGGGTGCAACCGCATGAGCCAGATTCTTGAATCCTAATGTGCCAAATAGAGATTGATGTATCTAAGTTAGACGAAAGAATTTGAGTATTGTCACAAAAAGATAAAAATCATGATAACTATGCAAATTTAAATGTATTTGTGAAACGACTGTATAATTTTCGCTAGTTAGGGCCCTTACTCACCAAGACTTATGTCCTTTTTCTTTCTTCTTTTGCTGTCATCTCATTGATTTGGGGTATCCCTATTACATAATGATCCGTGGATCAATCCCTATTGCCTACTATTTATCTTGTGGAAAATTGTAATTATTTTAAAATTATTATCTAGCCAACTTATCAATCTGTAAACTATTATAATCATAATTTTCTCCTCTTTTATTCTATTGTTGTAGTCTTCATCATTATGTTGCATCAAATTGGTGGTCCCATTTATGGAGCTTTCCTCATTACATTGCTAAATTCTTCCTTTACTAATTTTTCCTGTGAACAGAACCACAAATTCCATCTCCATAGACAATAATAATAATACCCACATATCCTTGGCCTTGACTTTTCTTGGAATTGAGGGATGTAATCTAAATCGAATGGGAAAATTTCAAAACATCTAATTAACATTCCGTTTGAATAGAAAGAAGTATCTCAAGCGGTCTCAATTGATTTACATGTTCTTTAAGTGGAAAAGAAAATTGTGTTTTTACAAGGTGCAAAAAGACAAAAATGACTTGCGAGGAGCACCTATAACAACATCTATAGCAGGTACTTGTATTCAATCATTCTTAGGTATTACTCCTTATCACGCCTTTCCAGTCTCAAAGATGTCCGATTTCATCTCCCGGATCATTGATTCATGAGCTACAAATTATATGGTCAATCTCTTTCATAAATTTATTTCATACCCCTCTTATTTTAGCAACAAGAAAATAATTATTGTTGATGGATCCTTTACCATCATGGTCGGTGAATGAAATATTCTTATAGACATAGTCCGCACAGTTTGAAATGCCCTTCACATGCCTAAATTATTTACCAGTTTTGTATCAATTCAAGAAGAGGCCATGAGGAGGACGCATGTGCTTTGCTAAAAAAGAGATGGCCTTTACTCCCTCGAGGAATCCAATAATTAAGAAAACTCTATATAACCTTTAATATTATCTCTTCTTTTAGAAGTCCTTAAATTTGATAAAGAAAAAAATCAATATAGGAGAATTTTATTATGATTTTTGTTAACTAGCAAAACATAAACTTATTAATTTTCCAATGAGTCACAAGACCAATTATTCATTTTTTTCTTCTTCATCGTAATGTCTAGGGATCATCCTCTGCACCTAGAATCTTTTGGGTTTGGTGGTTTGTATCTTTTATCCACCTTTGTGCCATGGATCTTTTTACCAAAGTACTTCATTAGCATTGAATTTGCATGATCTAATCCATAGACTATTGTAATTATTTTGTAATTTTTATGCCATTCCCTTATTTTTTATGTTTACCATAAGAAAAAGCTCTTCTAGAATTGGTTAAATACTATACAAATGATGAAATGAAATACTCAACTACTTGTGTTCAATTCTTGTCAGTATTTGATACTATATGCTCAATAGAATAATAATAATAATAATAAAAAAGAAAAACAGAAAAAATAATAACAGTGGATTATCAACGTTGAGGGGATCAAGTATATTGATTTTAGCAAAATGGTCATAGTTTAGAAGTTGCTCGCTTGAAGCTTGTTGCAACTAAGTGGAGGCCTTGCGCAGGTACTCTTCGTGTTAAAGTGAATCTAAGTTTTCAGTCAAATCACATTATTATGCTGAAAATATCCAGCTTTGCTGACATTGTTCCTCTGTGAAGCCAGATTCATTTTTGGTCAGTAAAGATACCTAATTTTGATAAGCTTTGCTTTAATATTTTTAGATTGTCTACCTCAGCTTTTATGGTTTCTATCCAATTAACATTAAAAAATAAAATTGTTGATTGACCCAATGCGGAGAAGATTGAAGCAATACTAGATGATGAGATCATTTTCACAAAAAGGTGGGCGCCGAAGATACTTAGTTCACTGGAAAGGAACACCGGTTACAGAGGATACATGGGTTGATCGAGATGAGCTACAGAGTTGAGACCAAGATCTCCTTGAGTTGTACGAGAGCTCTAAAGACACTTACTCGACGGGGTCGAGATTTCTCCCACCTGGGGAGAATGATGAGGACATTGGATGATATCGACGAGTCTATCAGCATAGGAATCGTAGATCGATGGCTACGATTCAGTCTTTATTTTTTATGCATTTATGTATTGTAGTTTATTTACTAATTACGATTGTATCATTTCTTTTGAGTTTGTTTGAGTTGTAGCCCAAGGGGCATTTGAGTCATTGTTATTTTATTTTCTAGGCCTATATATTGTGGCATCTTCTATTGTAATGGGATTTTGATGATTATGAATGAAAAATTTCAAATTTTCTTGCTTGATCTCTTTGTGAGTTCTTGAGAGGAGAAACCCTAGGAGAGGGCCTTACAACACCCATTAGCCACCGGTGGATTTCGGGACTCGTGGTTAGTACTTGTAGTATTTTCTTATTATTTCTTCATTCCCCCTACATCCGACCACCTCTTCTTCCCCAAACACACGTCGGCCACTTCAAGTCCACAAGCCGCCGGTCAACCTCAACAAGATCCCTTCCACTTAACCCACACCCCTTCCTTCTTAGCCAAACGCCACTCAAACCCCAAACCCTAACAGCCGGCCTTCCCCTCCCATGGATCCAAATGGATTGTCTTGCCTCTTTCCAAAAGTGGAGCATGAAGATTAGGAGGGAACTCCAATTCAAAATATGATTTCAAATTCATATTTTGAATTCTTTCCTAAATTGACATAATCCATATTAGGAAAGTGCTCAATTCGTGAATCTAATTTACCTAGCCCAAGCCCTTGGCCGCCAGCTTGAAACCTCCACCCCACCGTCCTTCTCCTTCCCAAGCCTTGAAAGTCAGCCTTCTTGTCCCCAAAATCTGAAATTCAAAAGTCAAATTGCCATTATTCACTTTCCTAAAATATGCCATAGTCATTTATGAAAGTTTCCAATTGGGAATTCAATTGAATATTTGAATTCAAATACTTGCCTATTGCTAGAACCCCATTTAGGAAACCTCCATATTTAAATCAAATCTGAAATTAAATTCAGATTTGATTTCAATCACTATTTATTCCTTGGGGGCCCACATACTTGCAACAAAACCCCTCTTCCCTCTATATATGGTCGGCCCCTCACCTAGCCCCTCCTCTCTCCTATTTAAATCCCAATCTCCATTAAATCCTCCCCTAATTTACCTCCTAATCTGCCAGCCCCTATAGCCCCTTTTGGAAAGATTTTAAAATTCAAAATTTTCCCTCCCTACCCTTTTGAAAATTATGAAATTAATTTTAGATTTTCCTAAAACCTATCTCCAACACTTAAAATCGTCCAGGACGATCCACGATCGTACGGGACGATCCATTTCGTGTTGACTTGAAAATTTGCAGTTTTTGGACGGTTTTTCTTGTCTCTTCTATATATAGTCTAATTTTGACTGCCACCAAATCTTTTTGCCCATTGATCTTCGTGCCTATTGAAAGAAGAGTCAAGGAGAGAGTGTGAGAGAGTGTTCGAAGAAGGATTCTTGCTACTGGAGCGTGAAGGCTTCACTTGGAGTTTATAGGTAAGAGTCTTTACTTTTAAATTGTGATTACTTCACTCTTTTCTTTCTTCCTTCTAGATTTCTTGTGAGGAGATCTGTCAAGGAGTTCCGGTTCTCTGTCGACACTTTGAGAGTGTGAACAGACGAAGGGTTCTCTGTCCACACTAAGAGAGTGTGAAAGGACTAACGGTTCTCTGCCAACACTGGGGATAGTGTAAAAGGACGACGGTTCTCTGCCGCACCGGGTAGTGGTGGAAAGAATTTGTTGTAAAGGCTTCTCCGCCTTGCTGTGGGTGCAAAAGGAGAGACACTATTGGTATTAGTGCAATACTCGGAGGGTGCCTCTAGGGAGTGGATGTAGGTCTGGTTTTGACCGAACCACTATAAATCTTGTGTCTTTTATTCTTTACTGCTTTTTATTTTATGCTTTTTCTGTTCTAAAAATTGTGGTTGAAAAACTATTTCTAAAAATTCATTAAAGTTTACTTTCGGTTCAAAATATTCAAAAGAGGGATAAATTTTTAAAATACCAATTCACCCTCCATCTTGGATAGCCTTGGGACATAAGCTTAGGTTTAACAACCTAATTCATAGTGAACGAGTTTCAATATCCAATTCTTAAGCCTAGCTCTAGACCTCCTCTCCCTCCTCTCCTCCACCCGCCAACCCTCACCACCCGCTTCTCCCTCTTCACCACCCTTCCAATCGGCGGCTCTTCCAAGGCACACCACCAAGATACTCCCATGGTCATGCATGACCGATCCCGATGTTGATCTCGGGTTCGTATATGATAACCAAGGAAGAACGGACATTCCTCGATCTACCTTCTTTGATTTGAACTTGAACGTCGATGACTCCGTGGAAGGTTACATTGACAACATCACCTTCACATTGGCACCGGCAATTGAGGAGCACCTCCCAATCAGATCGTTGTGGATTGTTGGACGCCCACAAATCCATCCGTCGCCGGCAATCTTTCCATCAATGAAGATCATAGGCTTCTTCTTCCTAGCGGTGATCTCTCTTCTAGTGTGAAGTATCTTCTTCCGCTAATCCTACATGTGAATGAGTGAGAAGGTCCTCAAGGTGAAACCTCTCATTGTTAAATTGTGGATTTTTGTTATTCCCTCATAAAAGTTATTCTTGTCTTTGGAGTTTGATTGAATTGTCTTGTTAATCTACGCGCACTTCTTTGCCTAAACAAGTTGAAGACTACAAATTCCTAGAATCTTTCTTTGTTGTGAACGATAATTTTATATTGGAAAGCTTTCAACAATAGTTCTTCTTAATTTCTCATTAACTCACGGTAGTTTCACATCATCCCTCTTCATATCTTTGCTGGCCTATGACATTTCTTACCCTTGTTGAACATGACACATTCAGGGAACAGCAGTTACCAAGTTGAAGATTGCTCAAAAGGAAGCTCTTGGTGTTGCTGAGAAAAGGATGGGAAGAAGAGGTCCGGGTAGCGTTATTGGATCCAGTGCCGCCGGTTGTGCTTGTGCCTTGTTATCAATATATAGCGTGGGTGGATCTGCATTTTCAGAAATTTGGCGGCTTGCTTTTGTGGCTAGCTTCTGCACCAAATTAAGTGATACCGTTTCTAGTGAAATTGGAAAGGCATATGGGAAGACAGCGTAAGTCTTATTTTTCAACACAATTTTTTGAATTTCTATGCAGTTACTGGATTAATGATGCAAGCATATTTAAGTTTTTTTTTTCCAAATTCTTCACAGTAATTGATGCTTGATATGACTTTTCAAGTAGTTGGACAATTTGATCACTGCTGTCAAATATTTTGAAGGACCATTGACTGCTGATTTATCCTTTCTGCTGGTTTTCTGTACCTTCTTACGCTCCCCAAGGATCATTTTGCCTAAAAGCTCAGAATGAAGTAAAACCGAAGGTTTGTAAAATATAATATCAACACATAGAAATATTAAACTTTCAATATGCATTATGATAACTTCTCAATCAAGCCCATGTACACTTGTCAAGTCCCTCCCTGGTACTTGACTAAGCTGTCTTTACCCCTCTCATGCAAAAAGAAAAGGAAAAAAAAAACTTTACTACTTTCTTTTAGGTAAAATAGCGAAGTAGGATTTTTTTGTATGGGATCAAGATCAACCTTTATAAGAAGATATATTAAGTGAAAAAAACTTGAAATGCTAGATGCACTACCACAAATATATAGAAATAAAATAATACCACAATGGGGAGCTCCACGGACTTGCCAGATTAAGAAACGACTTGGTTGTTTTGGAAACCAGGAAATACTGTTTAGTATGAAAGACAAAAGAGAGCTTCAAATTACTTCCAACTAAATAGGCTAATAGATCTTTAGAACAGTTCAAAAGAATTCACCGATATAGAACTTTAAAGGGTTGCCATAGAGGCAGAGCGAAGGCAGATAAGTTTGCAAGTTTTGAATAATTCTATTTTAAATCGAGTCTTCAGCATGGAGGGTATTTAGAGGCAAAGCAGCTAAGGTTGGTTGGCCAAAATAGAGGAAAATGGTAGGTGCTAATTTGAAATTGTGGAATATTATATTTGGAAGCATGCAAATGTATGGGCAATGTTATATTTTCATTTTATCTGCATGCCGTGCTTCATAATCTTTAGTATGTGTTCTTAACCAAAGAAATTGTTTTAAGAGTATTTCGATAAAATAAAGTTTTGGGTACAATAGGGTAAGAGATCAGGTGAAAGTAAAATCATTTTAGAATCTTGACAATGCATCCGTCAACTCTATGAATATGCTTGGTGATGTTAGACAAGTTGGATTATTTTTATGAGTTGAATTTTTTTTCACAATTTACTCAACCCAAAACTCGCTAAGATACGACTAGCTACTAGTTTAAATTAATATAAAATATTATAAGTTCAAATAGAGATGATATTTATGATATTTTTTTATAAGAACAAGAGTGACAAATTAGATAAGATGGTATTATAAAAAAATGAAGAACATTTAAAATATTAAAATGAAATTCCTATGGTGGAAACTAAATTAACCATTAATGTAACAAATGGTAATGAATATTACTTGACCAAGCAGTCCTTTGTCTTAATTGTGATCTTCCTTTCTTGAAAGTTTGTCGATAAGGGCTGTGCTACTCACTCTCAAGATATCATTTATTTTTGGAAGATAATACAAGAAGAGTAGAAAACTTAAAAAATGATTATCCATTCTATAATCAAGTGCTTGGCATTACAAGGATACGCCCTATTTAAAGGAATAAAAATTGAGAGACTGAAATGCACTAATTTACCTCCAAATTTAAATATATCACCAAACTTTACTTATTATCGTTATTGCACTTACCGTTATCATCACACCTACCATCATTATCATATACACCACTAATCCTAATAACATTAAGCCCTTTGTAGCCCATGACATAATGCCATAATATATAGACCCAAAATTATAATAGAATGACATAAATGATCGAAAATAAAACTGAGACTCAAATAATAATAATAAAAAAAACTTTAGCATCAACATGCATAAAAACAATCATCATCCTCTCTAGCTTCATGGAATTTTACGCCATCGAATAAACCCCAAGTACATAAGGGAGGTGATATGGAAAAGTTGCAGCTGTTCAAAGTCATTACTAATCCTCAGGAGGGATGAAATCTCTAGATAGAGTAAACTTATGGGCTCTTTATTTTGCGTCAAATATTAATGGCTTACTCAATAAAGATAGCAATATTGGTGATGAAGATGTATTCATGGGCACTATCTGCATGTTAGTAGGCAAACTAGAAGCAAAATATCATTGGAAATATTTTTATGTCATAAAGTTAAGTTTACCACACTGAATACTGTGAAAGTTACAGTATTTATATGAAGTTCAAGTTCACATGTATCAACTCTTATGTTCCTAGCAATTATCCAACTTCTCTGGCAATCATCTTTTGATAGGAACTTGCTCAGATCTTATTCTTATCAATAACACATATCCCTTTTCAAACTCAATAGATTCTTTATGTAAATTAACACTATATTTATGTTTACAATAAATATGTTAGTTTCTGTTGAATTTTTTGGTGAAAATCTTACAAGATTTGCACAAAAGATGATCTAAACTGATTTGAAGAATGTAAACAGACAGTTTTAATATATGGAATGGGGATTTCTTTAATCAAATGCTTAAGTATAAGGGGCATGTCTTGAAATTGCAAATGAGACCTACTTTAGCAATGTTTGTACTTTCTCAAAATTTTTTTTCTAAAGTGGCTTCTTGATGTTTGAACTCTTGTCGTATATTGTTACACAAACTATCCTTGACACTGCCATTTCTTCCATCAACCATCAGTATAACCTATCTAGTATAATTCATGACTAACCGCTCCTGAGTTATTTTATGCATGAGCATTTTGTAAGTGCAAGTTCCAACAAGTTAAATTATGGTGGTTTAATTTAAGTTTGACAAACACGATTTTGTTATTAGTATTATATCTCTACAAAATAAAGTACGTCTCAAATTGATGGGGACATCAGAGCATGGAAAGTATATCAGAGGCATGACCGTCGATATACGGCCACGATAGAGTCTATGTATTTTTGAGTCATTTCATGTATTTGTTTTTCTTTATTATGTTATGTAGCTTTTATTATTTATGTGTTTCTTGCTTTCCCGTTTTACCTTTTTATTAAGGGAGGTTGTATGTAAGCCATAGGGGCATTGTCATCCTTTTATTTTGTGAGTCTTTGTATGAGACTATTTATAGCCCTATTGTTCTTCTCTTTAAGTTAATGAATGATTAAAAAAAAAATTTCCACAAATTTTGAGTTCTTGCTTGAGCTTGAGAAATCGAAGTGAGATCCCTAGAAGAGGGAGGATTGCGCATCACCCACCAACCTAGACGAGTCGGGTTCGTGGTTTTACTTGTTATCTTTCCCCTTCCGTTTCCCCACCACCACCACCGGTCTTATCTTCCCCTTTCCTCACTCACGGCCAAGCTTTCACCCTCTCCCCTCCTCCCACCGAAAATCCCCTTCAAGCCCATCATGTCGCCGGCCCTATCACGCCACCTCCTCTCTTCCATCATTGTTCACATTGATTCCTTTTCCTAATTTGGATTTGGTAATTTTAGGTAACTCAAGACTTTTCAAATTCAAACTTATTTGAATTTGAAAAGTTACCTAAAATATCTTTCCTATTTTAGGAAACTTTCCAAACACTTGTCTTTGAATTTAAATTAATTTAGGATGAAATATATCATCCTAAATTTAAGTCCTTAATTTAAGGAAGCATTAAAAGCTTCCTTAATCATTCCCTCAAACCTTTAATGTCGTCGGCCCCTAAAGGGGAAAATTTAGGAATTGTTTCCTAAAACCAAATTTCCACTTTGGAAACAATTCAAACTCTCCCCTCTTCCCTTTGGCCGAATCCTCCCCTAGCCCCACCTATTTAATTTACTTCTAGTAAAGGAACTCCTCCACTTGAAAGTAAATCCACCCCACCCCACCCTCTCTTGCCGCAGCCCCCTCTTGCTCTTTCTCTTCCTTTAATTATTTTCAATTAAAGAGATAATTAGGAAGTATTGAATTAGATTTCCCCCCATCTCCCCTCCCAAAATCTGAACCAAATATCTCCCACTAGCCCTCACCCTTGGCCGGCCACCTATTCTCCTTTTCCCTCTTGATTTCTCTAGCTTACCTCCTCCATCTCAAGAGGAGTCTCAAGGGAAGCCTCAATAATCGTCATCACATCTTAATCTCAAGGACATGCATGGCCGATCCAAAACGTGATTACGGCCTCTTCTACGACGAACAAGGATTTGTTTGCATTCTTCACTCGACCTTTTTCGACGTCAACCCGTGCATCGACAATACCGTAGAAGAGTACGTAGAGCGCATCCTGAATACCCTGGTTGAGGCTATTGAATCACAACTCGACACCATTCAGTGGAGAATCACAACTCAACCATGATAAGGGTTTGCCAATCTTTCTTTTCGTGTATTTTCGTTGTCTAACTTGCTCTTGTGATTTGATAGTGATGAGGACATCGAAGATCAACGACTACGATCGTGTTTACTTATCTTGATGTATTTTATTTGTTATTTGTACTTTTCCCTTTCTACCCTCACTTGAGGGTTTTGTCTTATGTGGCCCTAGGGGAAATTATGTCTTTTATTTTTCCTTCATGTAATTGGCTATTTAAGCCTTCCCCTTTCTCTTGGAAAGGATGATGATTATTGATAATGAAAAGTTTCATGTTTTTGTTGATCTCTTAGTGAGTTCACGTGATCTCTTAGTGAGTTCATGAGAGGAGAAGCCCGAGGAGGGTAATTCGCAATACCCGCCAATCTTTGGAAGAGTCCGAGGTTCGCGGTTCTTACGATCTCTTTGTGAGTTCGTTAGTTATCTCTATCTTTCTCGTATATTCTTGTTCTTCTCTTTTCTCCCCTCTTCATCCACAAAGTATTCTCCTAGCTCCATTGCCGCCGCCCCTTGGAGTCCACCCGCCGGCCACCCTCACGGCTCCTGCCGGCCACTTTGCCGGCAACCTCCCCAACTGTCCACTCCTCCCTCCCGCATGCTCCAAATTTGAAATTTGAATTTCGAATCTCGAATTCTTTCCTAATTTGGAAATTCAATTTAGGAAAGTTTTATTTGATAAATTTCAATTTCAAATTAATTTTAACTCGGAGTTCTCATAACTTACCTCCACGTCATCACCCACCTTGTTCTTCAAGTTTCGAAAATTCAAATTTGAATGAGCTCCAAAATTTCCATAATTGCCAAAGTCCGAATAAGGAAAGAATTGGATTGAATCCAATTCAAATTTCATGGCATGAGGAGTTACTAATTATTATCCTAGGTGGCATCCTCCTAATTGGAAATTGATTTATTCACACTAATCTCCCTCCTCTTCTCTCTACATGCCGCCGACCTCATCTAGGGGGAAATCCATTTAATGCTAATTTAATGCCATCAATGCCTTGATCCAAAAAATTCAAATTTCAAAATAACCCCCCTTAATTTCATTCATAATCTGAAATTAATTTCAGATTATGAAATGAAACTCCCATTCCCCTCTCTTGAAACCGC